AGTTATCAGAGGGAAGAAATCATTGAATCCTGTGACAAATCTAGCCTACACTCTTAAAAACATGGTTCTTCAAGGGTTCTTTAGTAAAGAAAATGGTTTTATTTAGAACCATGAACACTCAAAGAACCCTTTGCATGATTAAAGGGTTCTTGGCATTGTTAAATGGTTCTCAGATTGATGGAGAATGTGCTATGGATGTTCTATATAGAACCTTTTTTATGAAAAGAACTCTGGGAACATAGAGTCCTGGTAACATAGGACCCTGGGTTCATAGAACCCTGGGGACATAGGACACTGGGAACATAGAACCCTGGGAACATAGGACGCTGGGAATATAGGACCCTGGGAATACAGAGTCCTGATAACATAGGACCCTGGGGACATAGGGCACTGGGATCATAGAACCCTGGAAACATAAAGCCCTGGGGACATAGGACACTGGGAACATAGAACCCTGGAAACATAAAGCCCTGGGGACATAGGAATACAGCACCAAAAAGGGTTCTTCTATTGTTACAGGCTTGACATCTTAACAATGCATTTGCATGAATAAATGGTTCTTGGCATCATTATATGGTTCTTCAGATTGATGGAGAATGTGCTATGGATGGTTCTATATAGAACCTTTTTGAAAAGAACCCTGGGAACATAGGAGCCTGGGAACGTGAAACCCTGAAGACATATGACCCTGGGAATATATAACCAAAAAGCGTTCTTCTGTTGTTACAGGCTTGACATCATAACAATGCATTTGCACGATTAAAGCGTTCTTGGCATCATTAAATGGTTCTTCAGATTGATGGAGAATGTGTTATGGATGGTTCTATTTGGAACCTTTTTAAAAAGAACCCTGGAAACATATAGTCCTGGTAACAAAGGACACTGGGATCAAAGAGCCCTGGGAACATAGAACCCTGGGAACATGGAACCCTGGGAACATAAAATCCTGGGAAAATAGAACCCTGTGGACATAGGACTCTGGGAATATAGCACCAAAAAGGGTTCTTCTGTTGTTACAGGCTTGACATCATAACAATGCATATGCATGATTAACGGGTTCTTAAGGTTCTTCAGATTGATAAAGAATGTGCTGTGGATGGTTCTATATAGAACCTTTTTCGCACCAAAAGGGTTTCTCTACTGTTACAATGCCAAACTTGTAAGAACCGTTTTTGGTGCTACATAGAATTCTTCTCAAAAAGGTTCTATATAGAACTATATAAAACACATTCTCCATCAATCTGAAGAATCATTTAGCAATGCAAAGAACTCTTTAATCATGCAAAGGGTTCTTTGAGAGTTCATGGTTCTACAGAGAACAATTTCCTTTACTAAAGAGCCCTTGAAGAACCATCTTTTTCAAGTGTGTAGCACAGCTTAATACGTTAGCTATGTATTTCTTCCTGTGGGTAGTAGAATTTGAGTAGTTTCAGCATGATAGCCTGCTTTAGAGGCTGATCCTAAAGGGGAATTCCACCAGTTTTTCATAATTTCTGCACAAATAAATGGTTAAGATGTAGACAAAGTTTGTTCACAGTGGTTTGGTGTGGAATGCTCTGCTGTAGAGAAACTTACAGAGTCAGAATTGTTCACAGTGGTGGTGATAGGAACCAGACGTCCACCTCTAAAAGTTCCCTTACAATCTCAATGAACTATGAAGCAGTTTAAAATGGTAGTATTGCAATTCAAGCAAATCATTTAAAAGCTTATTTTTTAAAGATAAAATATAAGTATCAGCTGATACCCAAGGTGTCAATATCATATCGGTAAAAGAAATGGTAGTGTCACGTCAGCTTTCTAAGAAGTAAGCCTATGTGGCAATGTAAATTTAGACAAATGATTATCATCTACAGAACTACAATAAACAATATAATCACAATACAAACTCAGTCACAAAGTACCACATATAGCAGGATTTCTTAAGCACTGAGCCACAGACCACAAGTGGGCCCCAAAGCACCTTCTGGTGGTCCTGGGCCCTATACTGAGAAGGAGACAGCGGTCCATAGTGGGATATTGATGGTACTTTGTCATAAAAACGAGTGACAAAAATACTATAAATACAAGTCATACAACAATGGTGTCCAAAACAGCTTCATCTATTTTTAGCCCCTTGTCTTTAGAAACAACACATCTGTTCTGCCTGATTTCAGGTATAAAACAAGCCTAGTCTGTTTAATGTTTAATGTTTAATTGTTTATATATATATGGCATGTTGCGGCATCTAAAAATTGCTCTGTTGTTTTCTTAAAAAACAATTTTTTAAGAAAAAAGCTTTTGTGGTTTTCCTGGCCTTCATACTTTCTAGTGATAATCGGTGGATCTTGAGGTAAAAAAGGTTAAGAACCCCTGCCATAAAAGCTGCATTCCAAAGCCTAGGCAGCATTTCTCGGCCTCTACACCATAGAAAGCTTTTCCACAGTGAAGCATCCTTCTTATACAGCCTTGAAATGCAGCCTACATTCCGAGTGATTCGAGGACTCATCAGATGTATCCTTCGGGTCTTTGGTTACCCACAGTTCTCAGCATCATGAAAATGGCGGAAAACAGAGCCATTGGAGCAGAGCTTGTTTTAAAAAGTAAGTTGTTCATGACCTTGACTTTGTCTTTATGACATAAAGTGAAAAGTACTGATTAATTAAAGCATTCATCCTTATATCGTATATTAATCAGAAGTATTTGTATGTATGTAGTTTGTTGTACTACATTAGCTTGTTAGCGTGTTAGCTACCATAGCAACAACCACAATGCAACTGGCTCCATTTTCTCTTATCAGTTCACTCACAAGTTTCATGCCACAATTGCAAGAGGCGGGGCCTTTCTGGTGACATCGTAACACAGCCTTGTAAGGACTGTTCCATTTGTGTGACCACTAGGCTACTAAGGAGGAGTCTTCACAGTACAGTCCTACCAAGGACCCACACTACCTCGGCTACAGACTAGGCTTTGGAACGCAGCTGCAGTCTGCAGTTTCCCTGATAGTAACATAACTACCTTACTAACTGGGCAGCTTCTAATATTACTTAATACAGAATAATAACTATATAACAACATTCCATATAAAACTCAGGGGACTTGTGTAGGTCCACCAGTGGTTTTGGATAGTAAATAAAATGTCTATATTTGTGCTGTAGTGTTGGCGACCCTTGGTTCCTATCGGCACCACTGTAAAGAAATCTGAACCATTTCACACCAAACCACTCTGAATGACTTTGTTCACATCTCAACGACTTTATAATTTAGCAATTTTCAAAATTTTTAATACCACCCTTAATGTAAAGTACTTCAGTTATTAATTTGAAAGCTTCATAAAAATATCAGTATTGGTACTGAAGATTTCAGTGTGAATGATCAATGCTAAACTGGTGAAGGCTGAGAAGACAGATATATGCAAATTATTTTTTGTGACATCACATAAACAATGAATTCCATATATGAAATGGGGGGGGGTGAATGGTTTGAAACTTTAACAATGTTCACACACCACATCAAACTCTTTTACTTCAAAGAAATGAGGAAAAATCTCATTTCCATGAAATGGGCTGTTTAAGATTTAAAGTGTGATTCTCCTCTATGTAAATATGTGCCATGGTTCGTCGTCAAGGACCCTTCTCCTACTTTCATACATATATTCATTCAAATGAGCTCACAGGGGACCCAATAGAGGCTGACTAAAGCTAATGTTATTGTTTGTCCCATTGAGCATGACCTTCAATGTGAAGTACTTCAATTTGTGAGTTCAGATCATGCCTTCAACATGGTGGTGGTAGTATGAGGGAAGATTGGTTGAGGGAGAGAATTCTGAGAACTTGGGCTGGAGTTCTGGGCAACTTCTACCTGTAAAGAGAAGGCCAGATCCCCCTCATAGCTGTAGCAGGACTGATGCAGGACTAAGGAACAGGGAGGAGATGGGGTGGCAGTAGGGATTGTGAACGCTTTGTCACGGGAGCAGAAGGTGAGGATGTGAATTTATGTTAGATTGGAAGAAGGAGGGGTTTCAGCCACCCCCCCCCCAAACTTCAGTTATAACATAACTACATATATTCATTTTAAAGCTTCATAAAAATATCAGAATTGGTACTGAAGATTTCAGTATCAGTATCGGTACAGTCTTAAAAATGATTCTTCATTGTCTTTATTAAAGACAATGTTTATATGGAACCATGAACTCTCAAACAACCCTTTGCATGCTTAAATGGTTCCATACATGGTGAAACGGTTCTTCAGACTGATTGAGAATGTGTTGTATATGGTTCTATATAGCACCAAAAAGGGTTCTACTATTGTTACATACTTAATAAAGATACTTCTTCAGTAAAGAAACTGGTTCTATAATAGGACCATGCACACCTACCGAACGCTTTGTATGATTAAATGGTTCCCTACATAGTGGAATGGTTCTTCAGGTTGATGGAGAATGTGTTGCATATGGTTCTATATAGCACCAAAAAGCGTTCTTCTATTGTTACACACTTAAAAAAGATGGTTTTTCAAGGGTTCTTTAGTAAAGAAAATGGTCCTTTGTATCGTGAAAGGGTTCTTCAGACGGATGGACAATGTGTTTTATACGGTTCCATATAGAACCTTTTTGAAATGGGTTTTTGACATCGTACCAATAGCAGAACCCTTTTTGGTGCTATATAGAACCCTTATCAGTAAGGTTCTATACAGAACCACATACAACACATTCTCTAACAATCTGAAAAAACATTTCACCATGCATGAAATGGTTCTATATAAAACTCACGGTTCTAAATAGAGCCATTCCCTTCACTACAGAACGTTTGAAGAACCATCTTAGGCCTATTTGTCACGGCATATGGGAGTTAGTTTGAGCTCAAAAAAGGGAGAATCATGTTCTAAATGTCCTGTTATTTGGTGAAATGTTATAAGAAAAGGACTGGCCAGGTTGGTGGTCTTGAGGAGGTGTGTGTGTGTGTGTGTGTGTGTGTGTGTGTGTGGAAAGAGCCTTGTGGGTGTGTGCTGCCGGCTCAGCCATGAGGGAGCTCACAGTCAGGACAGTAATACATTAGCAGCCCCTCAGAATCCTGCTGGAGATCCATGTTTTTGTTCTGCGGACTCCACTTCAGGACGCCTGAACGGTAAGGAACCTGACTGCACGCTCACGAAACACGAGCTGCTATCAGTCTGTTAGCTTATCTTTCTGTAAATTATGTTAAAAGATAGATTTTTCACTTGTAGTCGTGTCTGTGAGTGAAAACCTTGAGGCTCTCTGGCTCGCAAAGCTGTTTCCACAGGCGTTCCAACAGGTGGTGAGGGAAGTTCGCTTGACGAGGCTGAAGTTGGCTTCTTATTCGAATTTTCCCGTTCCACCTTAAATGGTGCAGCAGTTACATTCTGGTGCCTGAGGCGCCAGAATGTAACTGCTGCACCATTTAAGGTGGAACGGAAAAATTCGAAAATAGTGAAAATAAGACGGCGAATAAGAAGCTAATTCTCAGCTTTTCGACTCTTTGTTTCGTCTTTTCGTCATGAATATTATTGTTATCGATAGCTTATCGATTATCCCTCACAGATAAAGATGAATTTAACTTAATTTAACCTTTTTTTCCATCCTTCGTTGGAAGCGTGAGGAGAGTTATGTCGCTTCAAAACGTGTCTTTTAAAGTTAAATAGCCATATTAGGCCCATAAGATTTACATTTCTGAAGATGTACTAACCTAACGTCCTTAACTCCACCGTCTTTTCTCGAGATAAAGTTTATTTTTCTCCAAGTAAATCTGCGCTATAGCTCAGTAAAAGCGTGCAGAGCTTTACTGTATCTGTAAACAGTGGATTGAAGGAGTCGCTGCAAGTGTTGGACGTTTACATGATAAATGGTAAAGAGAAATGAGTGCAACAGATTGTCCAGCCTGTTGAGAGACCATCTAGAGCTGTCCAGTGTCCACTGTGTATATGTATCTACATGTATATAACGTGTGCTTTGTAAGCTACAAAAGAGCACATGATTTATTATTTGATCTGTAGTTTATTCCCAGAATTCTGTCTGATTTTGATAAACAGGAAAAAAAAACAATGATGTCAAGATGTTTGACAGGAACATGATTTGGATGCGAGATATTGTTCAAGTACTACAAATAAACAGGATTAAAGAAAACAATAATGTTGACTTCTTCGACACAAACCAGCCACATGAATATGACAAGAGGCTCTCCAGTATTAAAGGTCCCATATCATGGAAAACCACACTGTCCTTGTTTTAAAATGACCTTAAATCATTGTGGTTCACATATGGAAATTAAGCAGCCCATTATATCTATCTATCTATCTATCTATCTATCTATCTATCTATCTATCTATCTGTCTGTCTGTCTGTCTGTCTACACACACACACACAGTATTAAAGGGCCCATTTTCTACATTTTCCTTATATTTTATTCTTTTCATAATTCATAATAGTCATAATTCATTTTCACATCACCATTTTCCATCCTCTCTTTATCCCTTAGAATTAATCAGGCTGTTTTTGTTACTGTGCCTTTAAGACTGATATATGTAAATGAGCTCTGTTCTGATTGGCTGTCCTGTAATGTGCCTCATTCTTAAAGCAGCCCACTCCTTGTATGTTTACCTTCAGGCAAAGCTAAAGTGCTGCAAGCTGAACAGGCAGAACAGACAGTGCTTCAGACAAAGTAGCCACATGAATATGACAAGAGACGTGCGAGTATTAAAGGGCCCGTATCATGAAGAACAGATGGCAGACGAAAACAATGAATGAACTATGAATGAACGAGCTGTTTTTCGCTGATTAGTTTCTCTATGGACTGTATGGACTGGGGGAGTGAATGGTACATTTAGCAATGTTTGCATTTTACATCATATTCTATTCTGTTTCAAAAAAGTGAGGAAAAAAAATTAGTTTTCCGTGATACTGGGATATTTGTGTGAAAAGTTTCACATCCTACTTTGCCATATACCAGGGGTCGCAACCCAAATGTTAAGAAGAGCCATGTTGACCTTTCAGCAAATATCAAACCACCTTAGGAGCCACAACATTTTATGTCCATTTTAAGATCTTGGCTTTAAATATGTCTCAGTATGTGCTGATGTGCCAGTATAGACTAAAAAATATGATCTAAACGAAAAAAAACACTTTGCTTTAAGCTTTAGCTCAGCTATAGTTGCTTTTCTTGCATCTCTGGCAGGAAACTTTTCTGCAAAAGCAGAACAGTTTCTTGTAAAACGTCTCTCAGTGTTTGACTTTTTACGAGGCTGAAGTCGCTTCTCATTCGCCAGGTTTTTGTTCAGATATTTCCTTTCTGTAGAACGGGAAAATTCAAATGAGAAGCTGGCGAATGAGAATCTAACTTCAGCTTTGTGACTTTTTAGTGTTTGACAGTCTCTCATTGCAGATTAAATGTATCAGGAAACAACGTGGAGTGATTATAAATGCAAATAAGTCCATTCATCTCCAAATTATCGATGTTCGTAGTTTTTCTCTTTACCTTTTCGTTAGCTACTAGCTAGCTTGTTGTCTGTGTTGCTATAGTGACCAGCAGTCTACGTGCCAACCTTCATGGTTAAAGGTTGAATTAACATATTATACATTATTATACATTATACATTATATATTAACTCCAGTGTTTAAGACCATTTATTGTTAAAACTGTGTTGAACGATCAGCAGAGCTTTAATTTTACCTACATATCTAATTCTGCTGTGGAGCTGCAACAGGACAGTAAAAGAGCCACATGCAGCTTCAGAGCTACATGTTGCTGACCCTCGCCATGTACCATATGAGCCAGGGACAGGCAAAACAGTGTTTATTGCAACAAATTACATCACATTATGATACAATATGCTTCAACATTTTTATGATACACAATACGCATCATAATATTTAGTTCTTGATTTAAGAATTCGGAACAGACAAAATAGAGCCTGTAGTGCCACAAATAATAGTAATAAAAATAATAATAGTAATAATATTGTTGTTGTTGTTATTTTTATTAATGTTTTCCAAAATGCACTGCACTAAATCTAATGAAACAGGCCTAATTGTGTTCTCTTTATAATGAAATGTGGTTAGTCAGTACTATTGTAATGATGCTGATATCGATGATCCGCTCAGAAAAGCGTATTGTGACATAATATATCACAATAATGATAAAATATTATCATATTGCCCATCCCTAATATCATGTAATGTAAAAAGGTACTGTGATGTTGTATTTTTGCCATATCGCCCACCTCTGTGAGCTACTGTTGCTTATAAAAGTTATGCTGGAACATCTTTTGATATGGTGGAATGGCCTTTTCAGCACGTGGTATAGAGTGTATGAAAGGTCGTTTTGGTCCCACTGTGATGAAATCCTCACTTTGCCAGCACATCACTGCAGAAAAGGTTAAGCAACCTTGCCTAGATGGCCCAGCAAATACCAGTTTTGATTGACTGTGAACTCCTCTAACTCTCCTGCTGATAGACAAGCTGTGCTGAATGTCAAGGCCCTCTGTGCATAGGTGATCAACCTGCTCAATAAATCTTCCTGAGTAATTTGATATCGATTGCCAGTAACTGATCTGCTCAAGTCAATACAAGTCTAAAAGTTATTTGTTATATAATAACAGATGGCAGACACCTCTGGATCCTTTCTCTTTAACCCTTAGAGGTCGAAAGCATTTAGTGCTGTGTTATTCAAGTACATTATTACATGTTTTAAGGCCAAAATAAAAAAGTAAGCGCTACATTTGTTGTAAAGGGCCTACTCGCCTCCTGCAGTGGTGCGATAATAGTCTCTGAAGTGAGAATTTCTGGTTCAAAGACAAGGAAACCCCCCTTTCTGATGAAGTATATTAAAGGTGGGAGGAACCTTTGAAAAACTACAAGCACTGTGGGTCGAGTACATCAGAGTGGGCTGTTCTAATTTTTTTTTCCCGCTAGCTTGCAAATGCAGAAGGAAGCCACATAGCTAACATTACTGCTAGGAAGCTGGATATCACATCTGTACTTATTAGCTTCTACATCAGCTCATTCCTTTACTGCTTTGGGGGGATTTGTATTTCCGTAATGCATTCTGGGTATTGTAGTGAGTGTAATGAGGCTGAGTGATGCAGTACTGCACTACAGACTGTTATATAGCATCACAAATAACATATTAAATGCTAGTTTTAGGCCTGGAAAGCCCCTTTAAAGAATCTGAAATCAGAATAGATATTTCTGAACTTGTTATTTTGTGTTCCTGAATATGAATATGAATCATCATATCGTTTAAAAGACAAAATTCTTGTTTTTTCGTAAACTTTTATAACAGTGTAATGATTTTGTCCCACCTCTAAAACGTCTTTTGATTTTTGATGATGTAATCATAAAAAAATATCATATTAAAGGACAATAACACCATTTTCTAAAAATTTTTGCATAATTCAGACTCTCTCTTTACAGTGGTGGTGATAGGAACCAGGGGTCTACATGACTACAACACAAATATAGCCATTTTTTTTACTATCCAGAAACCACCAGTGTACCTACACGTGTCTTCTGAGGTTTTATATCGAATGTTGATGATGGTAAAATTGTGAAAAAGCTAAAAAAAATAAAAAATTTCAAAATACATTTTAGGCCCAAACTATCATAAACCATTTGATGTAATATCTTTCTGTGAGGAAGCTCTTAGAAGTGGACGTCTGGTTCCTATCACAACCACTGTGAACAATGTTTACATCTTAATTATGCAAAAAATTTGAAAAAGCACTCAAGCAGTTCCCTTGCTCACTTGCAGACCTTCTCTGATACCAAATTTAACTCACAAATACATCACAGTACAAAAGGACAATTATTTATAATTTCACATTCATAATGACTGTAATTACACTCAGCATAATTACAAGTTATGCAGTGAATTACGTTTTGCACTTCTGACTTTGTCTTTTGACTTTGTTCCTTACTTGTTTTAACTAATTTTACCTAATGAAAGTGTCTAATTCCATTGGCAGATCATTTTACTTGTTTTTAAGGATTATTTCTTGAAATAAGCAAAATTACCCTTGTTATTTCTTCAGACAAGTGAATTATACAGGCCTGTGCCAAAAGCCACCTCTGTGTCACGGTGTGCGTTTTAAAACGTCCTCAGACCGCAGAGTC